TTAGCTCGGGAAACTGTAGCGTTTACTGAGCATCTGCCATGAAGCCTGCAGGTAACACACCATTTTTTGAAAGAAGAAACAAGTTCAGAGAGGTCAAGTGTCTCGCTGGAATTTGCACCTAGACATTCTGACTTCAGAGCCCAAAGGAGGTTAATTTTGAGGTCAATTTTGTTGCCTCCTGAAAACTGATTTTGTAGTCAGGATTATAGCAGTATTATTATATTTTTCCATTTATTCTTTTTTCCCAGTTGAAAAAATAGAATATAATGTGTATGTGCAGTAATAATTCTACCTAAGAAAACTGAAAAAGAAGGGAAAAAAATAGAATTGCTAGGTGTGGGGTGGGGAGGGCTGTTGGTTACAGAAAAATTGCCCACCCAACATTTCTATTTATTTAATGGGAAAAAAGATAAGTAGAAAAATATGTTAATCCTTCTGATTACAGAACCACTTTACAAAAAGGTGAAGAAATTACAGCATTAGAAAAATCACCATTTTGCAGACACTGCTGTGGTAACCGGTTCAGGTGAGCATTAGCGTGTTCCAAGAGCACTGCATGAAAGCTTGTGGGGGAACTGGATATTTTGAAAGCATCACCCCACAGATTGCATATTAATTAAAAAGAGAGAAGCATCCGTTTATAGTGGAGGAAAGCGGCAGGTGCCAGGTGAGCCAAGTGATAAAATGCGCCCCCTCCGATGAAGTGAAAGCCCAGCGCGTGCTTCCTGGCGCAGCGCCGTGGGGGTACACCGCGTCCCCCTCGTCCCATTCCTGCCAGAAATGTTCCCTTTGGAGACCTGGGCATGAGGAAGCAATCAGACAAATCCAGATTGAGGGACATTTTTAAAACACGTGGCCCGAACTCCTCAGAAAGGTCAATGTCGTGAACTTACGGAAGTGACTGAGCGACCTGCTGTAGATCGGAGGGGACTAAGAAGACGAGACGGCCAAGCGCAGAGCCCGCAAGGCCTGCCTGGGCGCTGGGCGCTGGGCTCACCTGAGCAGCTCTGAAAGTCACTTCTCCGGGCAGAGGTGGTCGACTGTGGGCTGTACGTTGCAGAGCAGGGTTGTAGCAGAGTTCAGTTTCTTGAGCATTACAAATGAATCGTGTCCTTGTTCTTAGGAGATAATGCTGGAGTATTTAAGGAGGAAATGTCATGATGTTTGCAGTTTACTCTCAATTGATTCAGAAATACACACGAAAAAGTTAACGTGTTACCAGTTGACAGATCTCAATGAAAAGTGCATGAGTATTCATGTAGTATTGAAACTGTTCTGAAGGTTTGAAAATTCTCAAAAGAAGAAAGAACAGAGTTGTTTAGTAGAGTGGCCAGGCTCAAGCAGGGGAAACATAGATTCACATTAAATAACAGTGGGGGAGGTTTTCAAGAAAATAGGTGAGAGCAGGGATCACAACTAGGTTTTTATGTAATTGTCGTCTCTGGTAAATTCATCCTAGTGGCTGGGCATGTTGAAATGCATGGGATTCTGGGGCCACATTCATGATTTATTAGGGTTGCTTGTCAAGAGTTTAGGACGTGAGAGTGTTGATGGATGTTCCAAATATTTGTCATCTTTCTTTGAATGTTTACATCATTACAGTCTAAATAGTTCTCAACTCTTTTATCAGTCGCTTACTGATCTAACCCTAATTTTATCCTGAGCTTGTATTTTCTCTGACATTAATAGCCCCCACCTCTGCCCCAGACGCAGGACCGAAGCTTCACAAATCTTTAAAAGTCAAGTGTCTGGGGCATCCTTAAATCGGGGTCTTTGAACCCAGGTCTGCTTTATGGAGGGAAAATGAGGAAGTCGGTGAACCTCTCCTGAAGTTGGGGTGGGGAGGGCGTTCTTCTAGGAGGGAGAATCTGGTTAAGCACTTACGACCTTAGTGCCTTTGCTAGTATGCTGATGACCTGCTGTAATTAATGTCCATTTTGTTTGACCATCAGTGTCTCCATCTCCTTTACTGTCGCTCTTCCCAGGCTCCTCCTTTGTACTAGTGTCACGAGACCCCCTGTGTCTGGCTTCTCTCTCTAGTCCCTCTAAGATTCTTCTTTGCCCCTTGAGGGTAGATGCAGTTTTCATGTAATCGAGATTGGGTGTAAGGGAACAGCCCTCCTGTGTGCGTCTCCTTTAACTACTCACACAGAAACCTTCACCTCTGACACTTCTGGTCTCTAAGTGTGTGTGGGGTCTTCCCTACACCAAGCAGTTCTCAGCAACGCTAGAACACTAGCTGGGTGTCCTGCAATTCAGTTTGATTCTGACACTGTCTTCGTGGGGTTAGCATCAGATCCCACAAGCGAAGGGCTCAGTCCCCAAGACTCTCCCCCTCCCCCACCACTTCAGAAGCCAGTTGCAAGTCACAGGTTGTCACCTGTAGTTCTGACGCATGAGCTGTAAGTTGAGGTTCCCACATCCTCCTCCTCCGGTTCAAAAATTCATTAGAGTGGCTCACAGAACTGAGGGGGAAACTTAACATTTACTGGTTTATTATAAAGGATATAAAAGAATACAGATGAGGAGCTGCATAGGGCGGAGTGTGTGAGAAGGGGCTCTCTGGCATGCTGCCCTCCCACCCCCCTACTTTTGGGATTTTTATGCAGGCTTCATGTAGGTACCATCGATCCTTAACTCAGTCTCCGCCCTCTCCCCTCCCCGGGGGACTGGCAGATGGGGCTGACAGCTCCAAGCTTCTCATCATGGCTTAGTCATGCCAGACCCCATCCTGAAGCTACCCAGGAGTCCACCAAGATTCAGCTCACTGGAACAAAAGGCACTCTTGTCACCCAGGGAATCCCAAGGGACTTAGGAGCTCTGAGTCGGGAACCAGGGGCAAAGACCTGATATTAGAACAAGATGTGCTCCCAGTGCTGTCACTTCGGAAATTGCAAAGATTTTAGGAACTTTGTCCCAAGAACCAAGGACGGAAACCTATATCTTTTCTAATTTCGCAGCGGGTAATTTTCTACTCTCTTTGAAAGGTGAACGTTAAGGAGCCTCTATGTTAACATATGCTCAATAAATATTGAAGGGATGATTGAAATAATTAAATGCTTCTTTCCCACACAGCGTTCCCTTTGAGATTAGGTGGCGCTCGTTTAGTGTTGTTTGAATGAATGAATTGCGTGGACTGGTTCCCTTGGCTACCTGTGCAGCTTTCCCAGCTCCTCTTCCAGCTTGAGTCTTCGAGAGGGAACCTCAGAGCTGATTTCTAAAACTGTCTGTACCTGGTGTGATTATAAAGCAACGAGACTGATTGTCATGTGTCGTTTGTGGGATCCGTCTCAGTTACTTTATAGCCATACCTCGTATCTTATACCGCAGATCACTGCCTGTTGAACAACATTTTAAAAGCACAAACTTGAGGTTTCTAAATGGAAATTTAAAATGGTTTAGCATTGTTTTATGGTTTTTTCCTAACTTACTGGTCAGAACACTTATATCTGAAAGATAAATAGATGTTAACTTTGTTGCTTCCTTTTAATTTTGCAGTTTTCTTTGTTTTTGGATTTTTAATCAGTATTCTGATAAATTGCCAATAAATGGCAGTTTTGAATAAGATTATACAAAGGTATATGTTCCATTGGGTTAAAGTTTTCGTAAAACTTTTAATAATTAAATTTCTTTTCAATTGCATGTGGTCTTTTGATTGCACATTGTATGAGGACAGTCCTTTTAGTTAAATACAATAAATGAAACATAAATCAAATATTTAGTAATATTTATTCATTGAAGAAGTCTTTGATAGGACAAGTTTTGGCAGTTTTGTTCTGTTTTGGTGTTTTACATTTATATGTACAAACTTTATTCAAATGTAAATAAGTGATTATAATTTTTTCTTTCCCCAAATAAAGTTTCTCCTCCTTCCTCTGACCCTCAGAGTCTTAGGGGCTCTTTGAAGAAGGTGGTTGTCAAAAGTTGTATGTTGCCACAGGCAGCTGCACCTTCCGAAAGGGCAATCGCTGACAGCTAGATGGGTCTAGAAAGGCTTCTCTTTTTGCTTAAAAGAAAATGGGAAATTATTCCCTTTGTACAAGGGGAAAGGGTTAGAAATTTCATGCTGTGCATAAGAGAGAGAGTCGCTTGCCTTTGCTGTATTACTGCTTCTGGAAATTATGTAAGTGGAAGAATCAGGGGGAGAACAATTTACAGACATTCTTACAATTCATTTAAGTGGTGAGTGGCTGTCACAGAACCTCTGGACAGCTGTCAGACTCAGGCGTGACCAGTCCAGAACGTGAGGCTTGGGCATGTCTCAGGAGGGGTTTAATTTCCAGAAGCGTTCTGGGGTAAACTGGAAAGGAACCTTCCTCCAGTCTGGTCTACACATAGGACCAAAGTCAGTTTCAACTATTGGTGATTAAAGATGCCACAGCTTGGCACTTTGCTGTTACAGCTCTCTTATCAGATTTGTGTCCGAAGTCAACGATACTGTGAAACTGTATACTTTGTACCCCTTTCTATTCCTTGCACATGCTCTGCACACAATAGGTGCTCCATGAATGTTTGTAAGATTAATGCAAAAAGTACCAAATTTTGTACTACAAATAAGTGTTTTTCTCTTTTTCATAAGGAGTTGGGACTCACTAAAGAACATTTTAAGACGGAAAAGGCTTTACTGTGAAAACCTGCCATGATTTTATCATATTTCTATTGCTGTATAATACAGTGTTGTGTGCTGTCTTTTATCACATTTGGCTGATTAATAATCCGTTTTTTTAAATATAGTTGTAAGACAAATTAACACAGCTCTTAACACGGCAGTCATTTCATGCTTTTAGTGTGTTTAAGTCCTAAGTAGTACACAGCAGATTTCTGTCCCCACTTGGTGCCAGCGTACCCAGTTGCAGCTCCATTGCATTTGAAACGTTGAACCTGCAAACCCTTGTCGGTAGCAAACACTGCAGAAGTTTTTCTAAGTAGCGCTTATGTATATCTGATGTTTTGTAAGTTGTAAATGTCACTTGAGTATGTATATTTATTTTACGTTACAGGCACTGGAGATATTATTGCTGTCATGATTACAGAATTGAGGGGTAAGGATATTTTGAGTTATCTGGAGAAAAACATCTCTGTACAAATGACAATAGCTGTTGGAACCCGAATGCCGCCAAAGAACTTCAGCCGTGGCTCTCTGGTCTTCGTGTCAATATCCTTTATTGTTTTGATGATTATTTCTTCAGCCTGGCTTATATTCTACTTCATTCAGAAGATCAGGTACACGAACGCTCGGGACAGGAACCAGGTGAGCTCCAAGTACTCTGCAGTGACTGCTGCTTAGAACAGGCGTCACACTCACACTGCACAGACGTGCTTTCATTTAAGAAAAGCTGTGACCCTTATTTTACTGTATTGAAAACGTACCTACGTAAGTATTTTAAGGATATTTTAAAAGCCTAAGTGGAGAAATTGTTCGGTTTATGGTGATCACTTGGAATATTCTAGGTAAATGTTTAACTTAATACCATAATGTGATCTAGCTAATGGCAGTAACTTGAAGAAATATGACAAAGTTGCATTTTTTAGCTGGTAACATTTGTAAGTGACGGGGGAGTTGGGAGGGTCGGGGAGGGAGATTTTTCACTGTATACCTTTTTGTTTCATGTGAAAAATTTTCCCCATGTGAATTTTAAACTGTGTATTATCAATTCAGAAAAAAAATTATTTAAAAATAAATTATCTGTCCTATTTTAGGCTTAGCCATGGGGTGATGAGGAGGTAGGAAAGAACCAATAGAAGACATACATCTAGATGGTCATCCTAGAAATTCCATTGACCAGCACAGCCTGATACTAGGCGAATATCACACAGGACACAGGAATAAAGGCACAGGAAGGACAGCGTGCTGCCCTGGGGTAGAGGCCTCACGGACAGTGTTTCGGTCAGTCTGTTACTTTGTTTGATGGGCTGCAGACCCAGTATCCACCCTAGAGCCAGGGGTGAGGTGTTGGGTCCATCCCAGTCCTAGGCTTCTCTCCTAGGGCCCTACGGAGTGAATTTCTTAGTGGTTTGAAGCCAATTTTTATGTAACACCATCCTCACCTCAAACAGTACATCTAGCTCCGTGGGGATGGGGGATGGAGCGTAAATATTCATTCTTCCTCCATCTAGTGAAAGGAACACAGACTCTGGTATGGAACACGTCTGAATTCAGATCCTGACCTCAGCACCAATTTGCCGTAGTCCCTCTTGAACAGTTTTTTTAGTGTCTCAGCTTGTTTCTTCATCTGATAATAGAGTTAAAAAAAAAATCTGAAGGCTATAATTTATTGAGCATTTATGTACCAGGCTCTTTGCAGCATCCTTTACTTCTTTAAAAATTTTTTATTATGATAATTTTTATTATTTATAATTTCAGACTTAACAGAAAGTTGCAATAATAATATGAAATACTCCCTTGCCCAGATTCTCCAGCTGTTAACATTTCACCATATTCCCTTTTCTGTGTGTATAGACTGTTTTGTAACTGTTTGAGAATAAGTTTGAAATAAGATGGTAATTCCCTTGAGATCCATCTAAATACTTCATTGTGTATTTTCTAAAAGCAAGACATGCTCTTACATAACCACAGTATGATTATCAAAATAATGAAATTAGCATTAACACCATTATCTGATCTCCAGACCTTTTCTAAGTGTTTAAAATTGTCTTCATAATGTCCTTTATTGCAGAGGAAACCCTGGATTGATCCAGTCAAATCGTATGTTGCATTCAGTTGTCTGATGTCTTTTAATCTGTTCCATAACATTGTCATTTTTGGAGAGTGCAGGCTGGTTGTTTTAGATTTGAGTTTGTCTGATGTCTGATGTTCCTTCATGAATAAATCGGGGTTATATGCATTTTTGTCAGGAACACCAGTCCTTTATGTATGCTTAATTATTTACTTTGAGATAATTGTAAATTCATGTGCATTTGTAGGAAATAATACAAGGAAATCCCATATACGCTTCACCCCTTTTCCCCTCAGTGGTAAAATCTGGAATAACTATAGTAAATATCACAGCCAGTATATCAGTGTTGATGCAGTCCACTGGTCTTACTCAGGTTTCCCCAGTTAAACTTGTACTGGTGTGTTGAGAATAGTTGTGTGTGGTTGCAGGTGACCACCACCACTGTCAACACACAGAGCAGTTCTCACAAGGATCCCTTGTGCAGATCCCTTTGTAGTCACAGCCGCCTTTCTCTTACATCCCTACTCCTCACTGCACTGAGCTGTTCCCCACTTGATCGTTTTATTGTTTAAAGAATTCTATATACAGGGGATCCTACGGTACTTAACCTCTAGAGTTTGGATTTCTTCACCTAACATGATTCCCTTGAGAACCTTCCAAGTCGTTAGGTCTGTCGATAGTTTATTCCTTTTTACTGCTGACTAATATTCTGTGGCTTGGATGTACCATAATTTGGTTAACCAAATTATATCCAGTTTTTGGCTATTATAAATAAAGTGACCATGAACATTCGTGTACAGGTTTTTGTGTATACATTAGTTTTCATTTTCCTGATATAAATATTCTAGAGTGCAGTTTCTGGATTATTATGATAAGCGCATACTTAATTTTGTAAAACACTGCCATACTCTTTTCCCAAGTGGCTATGCTGTTCTCCATTCCTGGTGGAAACGTTTCCCTGATAGAGTTCCTCTGCATCCTTGACAGCATTTGGTGTTGTCACTGTTTTTCATTTTAGCCATTCTGATAGGCCTATAGTAATATCTCTTTTGTGATTTTTGATTTGCCGTTCTTTAATGGCTATGGGCGTTTACCGTCTTTCGTGTGCTAAATGCCACCTCTTCAGTGAAATGTTCATTCGTGTCTTTTGCCCACTTTCTACTGGGTTGTTTGTTTTTTGCTTTTGAGTTTAAGAACTCTTTATACATTCTAAATACAAGTCTTTAGTCAGAATTGTGGTTTGCAAATATTTTCTCCTAGTTCATCCCAGGGACTCTGGAAGAGCAGAAGAATTCCTTAGTTTTGATAAAGTTTCATTCATCAGCTTTTCCTTTTAAGTATTGTGTGCTTTTGCTGTCAAGTCTCTTTGCCTAGCCCTAGATCATAAAGATTTTCTAATTTTTTTCTGAAAGTCTTACATTTTACAATTACGTCCATGATCCATTTTGAATTAATATTTGCATGAAGTGTGAGGTTTAGTTTGTGACTCACTTTTCGGCTTATGTTTGTCCAGTATTGCACCTTTGTCAGAACTCAGGCATGTCTGTGTGGGCACGTGTCTGGGTTTTCTGTTCTATCCCGCTGATCTCTGTGTCTGTGCCTCTGTCCACACCACACTGTCTTGATTATTGGCTATATGCTATGCCTTAGTATTGGGTAGAGTGATTCCTCCCATTTTATTCTTATTTTTTCAAGATTATTTTATCTATTCTAGGTCCTAGAGTCTTTTCATACAAATTTTAAAATAAGCTGTGTCTCTCCCCCACCCCCCCCCAAAAGAAAAGAAAAAACCCACTTGCTGGGATTTTGATGTGAATACATTAAATCTATTGATCAGTTTGGGGAGAATTGATATATTTACCATATTGAATCTTCCAGTTCATGAACTCTGAATGTTTTTCCATTTGTGTAGGTCTTTTTTAATTTCTTGCATCAGCATTTTATAGTTTTCAGCATACAGACTCTGCACATGTTTTGTTAAGTTTATACCTAACAATTTTGTTTTGTTTGAAATGACTAAATAGTAATGTTATGGTAAATGGACTGTAAATGTGTTTTTAATTTCAGGTTTCACCTGTTCACTTTAGAGTATCAAAATATGGTTGGATTTTGTATTCTGCCACCTTGGTAAACTCATTTATTATTGTAAATTGCTTAGGATTTTCTGTATAGACAATCATGTTATCTGCAAATAGTGACCATTTTATTTCTTCCTTTCCAATCTCAGTGCCTTATTTCTTTTTCTTGCCTTATTGAAGTGGCTAGAACTTCCAGTACTATGTTGAATAGTAAGAGTGAGCGTCCTTGGCCTGTGCCCAGTCTTAGAGGAGAGGACTCAATCTTTCATTGTCAAGTATGTTGTTAACTGTCACATTCTGTAGATGTTTATTGCCAAGTTCAGGAACGTTCTGTTTCTCGTTTGCTGAGAATTTTTCTCAGAAACGGGTGCTGGATTTTGTCAAATGCTTTTTATGCGTCAGTTGATGTGACCATATGATTTTTTGTTTTCTTCTTCAGCCTGTGGTGGATTGCATTCATTGATTTTTGAATGTTGAGCCAGACTTGCATACCTGGAATAAACTACACTTAGCCTAGTCTTGTATATCTGGAATAAATCCCACTCGGTCATGGCGTATAATTTTTTGCGCATTGCTGGATTCAGTTGGCTACTACTTTGTTGAGGATTTTTATGTCTCAGTTCATGAGAGATACTACTCTGTAGTTTTGAGAGAGTTGCAAGAACTTAATTTCTTTCATGGTTAAAAGACTTCATATTGTCTGTTTCATCTTTATTGAATTTTGGTTATTTGTGGGTTTTGAGTAATTGGCCTGGTTTTTAGATGTTGTCATATTTATGAACATAAATTTGTTCATAGGATTTCCTTGTTCTTTAAATGCCTGCAGTGTCGGTGGTGATATTGCCTGTTCATTCCTGATTTTAATCATGCGTATCTTTTTATCTTTGTAAGTCTTCCTAGAAATTTCTCAATTTTATTAATTTTTTAAAAATGCAAGCTCTTTAAAAATTTCACTTCTTAAAGATAGGAACTTAGATTACTTATCTCTTTCTAATGTAAGAGTTTATTGCCATTTCTCTCTCAGCACTACTTTAACTGTGTCCCGTCTACTTGGATGCCCTGTATTTTCATTTTCATTCAGCTGTATGTATTTTCTTCCTCTGAGATGCATGTGGTATTTCAAAGCGTGTTGTTTAGTTTCTACTTGTTTGGAGATTTTGCTGTTGTCTTAGTGTTGCTGATTTGTAGTTAGATTCTGCTGTGATCAGAGAGATACTCTGTATGATTTCAGTTCTTTTAGATTTGTTGAGACTTATTTCATGACCTAGGATCTGGTCTGTCTTGGTGAATGTTTTATAGGTGCCTGGGGAAAATGTGTATTCTGCTGTTGGGTGGAGTGTTTTATAGATAGATGTCAGATCAGTGCACTCAGCTTGCTTCTGAGGTGGGGGAGTGAAGGTCACTTTCCCAGTGGGCCTTGCTGAAACCATCGTGGGAGGAGGGGTGCAGTTTTCCCATTGGCATTTGGCTAGAGTAGGAAGGTTGCAGCGCACTCT